CGCCGCCCCCTCTCCCTCTCCTCGCGGTCATTTTCCTAATTGGACGGAGCTGTGGGGCGTGATCGTCAGCGTCAGATTGAGGAGCCCCCCGAATTCGGTGGTCTTCCTTCCCCGACTCTCAGACCCCACTGAACCGGCCTCGGTGTTACCCCCACCCCGAGCTGCGGACTTGCTAACTCGTGCGTAGCGGGTTGTTGGTTTTCTTTTTTTTTTTCCTCTCTCTCTTTTCTCTCTCTCTCTCTCTCTTTTTTTTTTACTTGCCTTTTAAGATGACTTTTATGGTCCCTGCAACTGCTTCCCTCCAGTCTAAACTGTAGTTTGGGAAGATTTAAGAGGCCGGGGAGGTGCTTGTGTGGCCTTTAACTAATCCAAAACGGTCATTAATGTATCTCTACGCCCTGCGAGATGGTTCCGGCCAGGCCATGCAGTAGCCTGGGTGTGTTTTCACCCGGACACTGCGGAGTTCCTCCACGGTCTTAGCGGCCAGCCTGCCAGTGAGGGGACACTTGACCCGCGGGCCCAGTGCCCTATCTTCGAAGGGCACCCTGGGCGTCTTTCTTTCCGTTTTCAATGGAAACTGTCGGCCACTGTCCACCCGAAGCCGTAACTAGTCCCTGTGGGTACCTCGGAAGCTCACAAAACTCCCCCACAGGTGGGAGGAGGACTTTGTGTTGTTGGAGGTCATCCAGCCTTCTTTGACGCTGCCCTCTCAGCCTTGCCTTTTTGTACGTGTGTAAGTAAAAGCAGTCAAAGTTCATGTCTGCCAAAGAGAAGAGCTGGTGTGTGGGAACAGGGGGCGGGGGAGGGCTTGTATCACCTTACTAGGGCTCTTCAAAGGTTCGGGGAGCTGGTGTGGGAAAGGGGGAAAAGGTCTGGTCCTTCACCGTCTTTAGATTTAAGAAAGTGTATTGTTATCAAAGCTGATGGGCCTGTCTGGTTTTTATTTTGAGAGGTAGTGTGACCATCGGTTTTTCCACTTGTTTCAAAGCAAACTTACCTTTGAGAGCTTGGCTCGGTGGTTTGTTCTGCTCCCCTCTCATCCCACACCCTAACCCGGTGCCAGGCACCTGCTGTTCTTGGAGCACAACCTTGAATTGATGGCGCATAGTTCCAGCCACCTTGTGGAGCTGGCTTTGCTGCCTGAGGGCTCTGGGTAGAGCTTGGGGTAGGGGGAAAATGGACAGGTGGATCCTATCTTGTTCCTCTAGTCTGGTCTGGTTTCCTGCATGACCATGTGCCAAGAGTTTCTGTGAGTTTCACGGGGACAGACTGACTTCTCGGTTGCCTCGCGTGCCTTCAAGCTGTTCTGAGCTGACCCTTGGGCCCATGGTGTTTGAGGCATTTGTTTTGTGCTCTTCGGTCACAACCAGGCATTTTATCTTGGGATCTCTGACTAGAAACAAGGAGACAGACAAGGTCTGGAGTATCGTTTGGGTTGAAGGAAAGAGTAATGGGGATCACCAGAGAGTTTGCATAGCTTCTGGTTTGCCTTGTGGCCTAGAAACCACTTTCTAGCAAGGCTGATCTTGGGAAGCAGCTAACAACTGACTATTTCCTTCTTTTTTGAGACTTGAGTCTCACTACCGAGTCCAGACTGGCCTTGAACAGGTGATCTTCCTGTCTCTCCTATAGTGCTGAGACTATAGGCCTGTGCCATCACGCCTGGCTCTGGCATAGCTTGTTTCTAGAAGGGTGTAAGTTACCTGTGGGTAACTAACCCCTTTGGGGTTTGCATATCAGATATTTTACATTATGATTCATTTTTATTTATTGGTTTTTCGAGACAGAGTTTTCTCAGTGTAACAGCCCTAGCTGCCCTGGAACTAGCTCTATAGACCAGGCTGGCCATGAACTCGCAGACATCTTGTTTGCCCACTGAGTGCTGGGATTAAAGGCATATGTCATCCTTGCCTGGCCTATATTATGATTCCTTTTTTTTTTTTCTTTTTTGAGACAGGGTTTCTCTGTGAAATAGCCCTAGCTGTCCTGGAACTAGCTTTTGTAGACCAGGCTGGTATTGAACGCATGAAGATCCGCCTGCCTCTGCCTCCCGAGTGCTGGGATTAAAAGACACGTGTGCTACCACCGCTCTGCATGATTCTTCACAGTGGCCAAATTACAATTATGAAGTAACGATGAAATAATTTTATGGTTGGGGGTCACAACATGAGACACTGTATTAAAGGGTTTCAGCCTTAGGCAGGTTGAGAGCCACTGAATGGTTAGAAAACTAAAAAGAGGTATCTACTGCATCTCAGGGGAAACAGGTGAGGGGGCCAGCACTCGCAGGGTCCTCCATTGCCGCAGTCACTCACAGGGCTCTCGCACCCTATCCGGTTTTGGCCCCAAGCAAGTTCACTCAGTCTAAGGGAAGGCTCCTGCCTCTGCTAGGTCTCTGTTAAAGACGGTTGAACCATCCCTTTGACTTCAAAACTAGAAGGTCTTGGAGACTGCTTGAAAACGTCCAGGACAGGAAGAGCACCCATTGACCTAACAGTCAATAGTGGGGGGGGCATCACTCATGAGCCCCCTGGGATCTGTTCCCAGCACTTCCCACAAGGCCTCTACCTGCCGCTATGGCTTCCCGGCCACACATAGTTCAAAGAACATGGCTATGAAGACATGACGCCAACCGGGGGCTTGTAGTGCCTGTGCAGGCCAGGGTAACACGGCCTTATTTTCTAGGTATGCCGTCCTTGCTGCTCTGGGAAGACTGGGCAGGCCAGGGCAATTATCAGGAGAGCTTACTATTTTAACACCAACCTCTTTAAAGCCTAGCAGTTCAGCGGGGTGGAAGTTTAGTCATCGGGATGTCCCTAAATCACTGGGTTTTGATCTGGAATACTTTCTTCATACTTTGTACTTGTGCGTGGTTTATTTAGGGTTGGCTGGAGGGGAAGAATGGGGACAGAAGGAAGGGCCTCAGCTAGCTGATCTCCATTCAGGGTTTAGATCTGCTAGAATGTGTGTTTAGTGGGGCAGAGAGCTTGGCTCTATATGGATTTTCCCCTACCAATCTATTTATTATTGATTTATTTATTGCTTATTTGCTTTGCCCATTGCTAAGCCCATGTAAGACTAATATACAGTTGGCCTTTCATAAATACTTGTTGAATGATGTACTGGGCATTAGGAAAAGCATTTCCCTCCCAGGAGTAGCCCAGAAATGGCACACAGAGGCAGGGACAGGGAGGTGATTGATGGGAACTGCAGAGTTGTGCTGTGATTCATTGTCTCAAACAAGCTCCAGACAGGTAAGGCAGGAGGGGGCTGGGAAGAGTGGATCCTGAATGGGTGGAGCCACAGGGTGGAGACTTCTGCAAAACAATAGAGAGGTTTTGAATTGGACTCAAGACACTGGGAGAATAATACAGTCAGGTGTTCCGGGCCAGGATTGTGCTAAAGTATATATATATCATCTCCCATAGTCCTTGTCAGGTGCTGGCAAACACATTGCTGGTCTCTCATTTGGTAGCCTGGGAAACAGCCCAGAGGAGTCAAGGCACTTGTCTGGGGCCTCAGAGCTAGCGTCTGAGCCAGGCAGAGCGGCTTCTGACTTTGCTTCCCTACAGTAACGATGTGGTCAGGCCTCTCTACTCGTACAAAGGAACTGGGTCTTCAGCTTTCGGGTTCTTCTGAAAGGACAACGGAAGAGAAGCTGAGAAAGGAATTGCCAGTCTGCCCCAGAGAGAGGGTCCTCACACCGCCTGACGATGGTTCGGCCAGTGAGGACTGAAAGGGTATGCTTGTTTTCCAGGCTCTGATTACTCCCCAGTATCAGTCCCAGATCAGGACTATTTTTGTACTTGACAAGAATTTAGGATGCATGCGCACACGTATGAACACAGGTGATGCCTGAATTGAATCCAGGGTTTTGCACATGTGCAGTACCACTGAGCTACACGCGTACCCGATTGGAGTACTTTTATGCTGGTGGGAATTTTAAAGCTAAGGACTGTACTGTTGAGGGCCGGGCAAATGGCTCAGGCAGGAAAGTGCTTGTCTTGCAAACAGGAGGACTAGAGTTAGAGGATCAGCACCCACGTGAAATCCATGGTACACACTTGTAACTCTAGAATTGGAAAGGTGGAGACAGGAGGGTTTCTGGGGCTTACTGGGTAGGCACCCTAACTAATCCAGGAGACCATATCTCAAAACCAAGTGGATGCCACCACTTGCATGCAGACATGTATATGTGCACCTACACACACAAATGCACCCGCATATAGAAACACACACACACACACACACACACACACACACACACACACACACAAGTAAGGTCACCATTGGCCTTGGGGTCTCCAGATGTCCCACACATACAGGTTAGTCTGCTAGCCCAGCGTGGTCCAGACCAGCGCAGCTGCCTGTGTCTGGACAGTCTATGGTGTTCTAGGCACTATGCTGACCCGTCCTCCTGGAGCTTGCATTCTGTCTGGGAGACAGACATTAAACGAATAATTACACAAATACTCTTTAATTACAGTTGTTATAAATGCTTCAAAGGAAAAAGTTCAGAGGCATAGGAGGCAATAATTAGGGAGGGAGGAGCAAAGGGACGGTCCCTGAAGAAAGGGCATTTGAAACAGCCTCCTGACTGGGAAGGAGGGCTTTAACCAGGGTGGTATATATTGTTGTCTTTTCTTTCTTTGGAAATAGAAACAGTAAAGAAGAGAAAGGCACTCTGGGTAATAATGCACAGGGTTAGACAGCTGGTACCCGTCTGACTGAAAAGCCTTTATAAACATTTTATTTCTTTTTATTAAAGATTTTATTTGATTTTGTGTGCATTGCTGTTTTGTCTGCGTTCGTGTCTGCATGAGGGTGTTGGATCCCCAGGAACTGCAGGTGCAGACAGTTGTGAGTGCCGTGTGGGTGCTGGGAATTGAACCTGGGTCCTTTGGAAGAGCAGCCCTTGCTCTTAACTGCTGAGCTATCTCTCCATCCCCCAAACATTTTATTTCTTCATTGTGTATGTGTTTGGGCACAAGAATGCCATGGTGCCTTGTGCAGAGTCAGAGGACAACTGGCAAGAGTCAATTTTGTCCATCATGGGGATCCTGTGGGATTGAACTCAGGTTGTGGGACTTGACAGCAGGTGCCTTAGCCTGCAAAGCTATCCTGCTGACAGCTCCTCTCCCCTCCTGGTGGATTTCTGTTTGTTTGCTTGTTTTTAGTAACTAAGGCTGGCCTCAATTGCTCTGTAGCTGAGAGACTGGCCTTGAACACCTAGTCCTCCTCTAGCAGCTCCCAGGTGCTGGGATTGCAGGCCCATACCACCAAACGCTGCTTGCCTTAAGTTCACAGCCACCCTCCTGCCTCTGCCTCTGCCTCCCCAGTGTTAGGATTACTGGCACACCACACCAGGCCTGGCTTGGTCTGTTCACTTGGACATGAATCTTGCAGTGCTCTATGTGGTTGGCGTACCAGCACCATCGACATTACCTGGGAGCCTGGTAGAAATGCAGACTCCTGGGCCCCTCGGCAGGTTTGCTGAGCCTGCATTTTAACAAGCGCGCTCCAGAGGTGGCACAGGTGGACACAAGACCCGAACTGGAAGGTTATTAGTTTTGCAGGCAAGGAGCAGTGTGATCTGGAACACCGGCTCTGCCAAGCAGCAGGGAATTAGGCAATTTCCCAGGGCCCTTCTGGCGTCTCTGACCTTTCGTTTTGGAGCTTTGTACTATTTCCAAGCCTGTTGAGGGCTAGGGTCAGCGCCTCCGCTGCGCGCCCTGCAGCCTTCACCCCTGCATCACCTTCATGGGCACTCCCCTTTCTCTTTAGTAAAGCACTCAGCCCTGTTAGATTCTTTTGTGACATGGATCAGGAAGTTGTAAGAAGTATTGGAGCTTTGTGGCACACACTGTACCCAGGGAGACTGAGCCTAAGTAAGGAAAACTGGCAAGGTCAAAGGGCTTTAGGGAAGAGAGCGGTAAGGTTTCTGCCAGAAGTGGAAGTTAAAGTGGTGGGGTGAGGAACCTGCTCAGTCGTTCTGTGGGTGGAAACTTGGTCCCTGGCTCCCTGAAGTCACTTCAGGGAGGACTAGATCGGGCCCTTTATTTACTCCTGCAGTTGGGGTGGGGTTTTTACTGGAGCCGTACAGGTTTTGTATGTGGCATTTTTGGGAGAAGACTACTCAGCGTCAGAGGAGCCCTTGGCTCTAACACAGTGGTTCTCAGCCTGTGGGTCTTGTCCCTTCCCAGGGGGTCACATCTCATATGTTTACATTACGATTCAGAACGGTAGCGAAGTTACAGTTTATGAGGTAGCAGTGGAATAATTTTATGTTGGGGTCACCACGACCGAAGGAACTGTGTCAAAAGGTCGCAGCGTTAGGAAGGTTGAGAACCACCGTTCTAAGCTAAGCCGCTGGTGATGGAACCCAGGGTCCCTTGCGTGTAAAGCCAGAGAACGTCACCACTGGCTACAGCTAACTGTAGCCCTTTTTCTTTTTCTTTTCCCCCTTTTTCTTTCACTTTCATTTTTAAAAATGATTGTGTCGGGGAGGGGTGTGTGTGCACGTGGCAGTCAGAGGACAATTTGTGGGCATCCTTTCTCCTACCACCATGTGGGTCCTGGGGATTGAACCTGGGTTGTTAGACATGATGGTCAGTACCCTTACTCCTTGAGCCATCTTGCTCACCCCCTCTTTTTATTTTGAGACAAGGTAAGTTCAAGCCAAGTCACTGGCTTGAACTTACCTTGCTCCATAGCCAGGGCAGACTATGACTAGATATCACCCAGCTCTTTGATTCAGCAGTACTATATCCGGGGCACAATTCTAGGTACTTTACTTTACATACCGTCAATTAGCTTAATTACTTATTTTTTTTCTTTTGGTGGGGGGGGGTGTGCAGATTGAGACAGTCTCCTGTAGCCCAGGCTGCCCTCCAGCTTGCTGTGATGCTGAAGCTGGCCTCGAACTCTGAATCCCCCTTCCTGTACTTCCTGTGCTGAATTGCCGGCCTGTGCTACTGTGGGGAGCTCTGTTTCAATATTTAAATTAGCTCCTTTAAATAGAATAACTTTGCTGAAGTCACATGTAGCAAGCACTAGACACAGCCAGACACATGTAGCGAGCACCCTCAGACACAGGTGGGCTGGGGGTGAGATCCTGTTGGTAGTAGCGAGACGCCCTCCCCCGTAGTAAGTGTTTCCTGATTGTTCCTGTGTGTGACAGGAAGAATTTTCCTAAGGAGACAGAGAGTAGCTGGGGCCAGGTTCCCAGACTGCCCCTGAAATCCCACTTGGCCACTGGGTCCAAGTTCCTCTCATTTGCAAAGCAAAGAATTAGCAAGCGAGATGCCTGCAGCCTTGAAGACTAAACTTTCCGCAAGCAGAGCCTTTGAAGAATTGCACCCTTGAATTAGGGGAGGGGGCTGTAAGAGGAAATTGGGGTAGATCCCCAAACGGAACAGATTAAAGGGTGTTAAAACCGTAGCTGGACCAAATGCATGTCAGCAGCATCATAAGGTGAAATAACTGCTTTTATTACCTCCTAATTAACGTGCGGTGCTCCCAGGCCCGACCCTCCCCCCGCCCCACTACCTTGTCCCCGCACAGAGGCTTTGCCTTCTTTACTCATTCCTGAGCTCTCTGAATTTTCATTCGTATGATTTTCCCTTTATAACAGGTATGCGTGTGTTTGCAAACGAGGTCAAATCACTATCAGGAGTAAGCTGGCCTCTAAGAGGGCTTTGGTTCTGTCTTTCACACCCGCCATTGTACGAGTTTCTGGTATTAAATATATATATGCTCTATTGTGTGTTTATTTCTGGGAGTTCACCGAGAGCTGTGGGGGAACGTGGGGGTTTTCTGAGCAGTCAGAACTAAGCAGAAGAGATCGCGGCCTAACTGTCTTCCCTCTGTACCCCTGGTTAGGAATGACAGAGTCAGAACGAGGCTGGAACGACAGCCACGGAAGGCACTGATGAGAAACTAACGCTGGTGACAGCCCCCTTTGTGTGTGGTTTGTCTGGAGGGGTGGAGGAAGTTTGTGTGTGGCTGTGTGCCACCCTGGACACCCTCCCATCTCCAGCAGGACAGTGATGGCATGGTTGTAGCTTCCTGGTTGTGAAGGCAGTTCTGCATGCCTGGGAAAACACAGAGGCAAACTTGACCGCTGGTGTTACCTGTCAGTCACACCAGTCTTCCCGGTCCGAGCTGCTCTCTTGAGAACTGTAGGTGCCCTTTGGAAGCCAATGGTGTGGTTGGTTAATCTCACTTTGATTCTGATGCTGGACCCTGGGCCTACAAATGGTCGCGTTTGACAAGTGCTTTGTTCTATCGTTGTGACTCTATTAGCTTTAGACCTCAAGGAGGCTTGTAGAAAATGCCTTTGCTCGTCCTCCCTCTGTACCCCTACTTGATGTGGGCCTGTTCACCCCTGCCCAAGCTGGAAACCTGTGCCTGCTCCCCTAGGCTGCTCCTCCTGCCCTTCCATCATGTGCTGCCCCAACCCCCTAACCCCCACCTCCGGTTGCCTCAGTAGGAGTGGGCTTTCTTATCCTGGATTCCAGGTTTCTGTCTACATTTGTGGACAGGCCAGTCTCCTGTCGTCTTTCTTTTCTTTCTTTCTTTCTTTCTTTCTTTCTTTCTTTCTTTCTTTCTTTCTTTCCCTCCCTCCC